CCGCCTAGTCCCACCACTCCTTGGGCCAGCAGAGAGGCAGGCTCTCCCACGTGTTCTCCGTCGCCCTCGACACCCTCTGACTCCCAGGATCTCTGCCAGGCGCTGCCCCTGCTCTGCACCAGCAAGCGCGCCTGGAGGCAGGGCCCGTCCTGGCCGGGCTGTGCTCCAGCTCTGTAGGCCAGCCCCAGGTGGGAACGCCCCAGGCTCGCCTGTCCCTGCCTGAGTGCAGCAGTTTTTTCTCAGTTTGTTGTTTGCCTTTAATTGATTTGAAGAGTCCTGGAATCACTGTTTCTTAAAATTTGAGTGGTTTTATAGCTTTGTGGGGAGAGGATTTGCCAACTTGTTCCCTCCACCATAGCCCAGATCTGGCCCTTCATTGATTGTTTTGTAGCCTAATTTGTCCCGCAGAAGACTCTAGACCTGATGCTAAGTGCTTGAGGGGTGTAATCTCACATAGCTCTGTAAGTGGAGGGGGCAGGACATAAAGCTTCGTCTTGCAGCTGGGGTTGCAGCATGAGAATTTGCCCAGAAGTGAGGCCACCAGACCAGCTGGCCCAGTGCAAGTGTCTTCTGGTGTGCTCTCCACGGGGACTCTTCTGTGGGGGGCAGCGCGGGGGGAGCGGGAGTCAATCTTAAGTTCTTATTTTTTGAGGTTAGTTCTTCCTGACTTTCTGCTCTTCATTAGCTGTCAAGCATCATTTTAGTCTCGCTGCTTCTGTGCGGTATGTCACGACTTTGGGCCTTGCCTGTGGTGTGCCGGTTGGGAGCAGTCGCTTTGTGTTTCCTACACATTCATCCTCCAGGTGCAGAAGGACTCAGGGTGAAGTCTGACTGGCAGGGCTCAACAGAGCAGTGCCATGACCCTCATAGTCGTGGGCGGCGTCAGTGGGGTTGTCTCCGTGCGGTTAGGTGGGAGGGAGGTTGAGATGCTTCTGTAGAAAGGAACAGTGACCATTACTGAACAGAGTGCTACCACTTCATTCTCACGTGAGATTTCAGGAAGGGACAATACATGAATATCCACAAAATACAGCAGATTTTATCTGCCAGTACTTTCAGTAAGGTCATTATCTAAGTGATGTTTGTACCTCATTCACCGCTGATGGGTGGGACTCCTGGGTGACCGGTGTAAGAGCGGGTCCTTGTTGGGGGCACAGGCCGTCCAGGAGGCCGGCCTTACCCAGACAGTGGAGATGGTGCTGGAAAGAGTGCGGGAGGGCTAGGCTTATGCTACAGAGCTTCATAATGGGATCTGTTTTTTAATTGATGCTGTGAAGCTTGGGATACAGACGGAGTGTGTGCTCTGTGCATGGGGAGGCCAGAGCGCTGGAGCAGACAGGAGCGGTCACCTGTGGGCCTCTCCCTGCTCTGATGGGCTCCCCGAGGCTGAGCAGGGGTGAGTCCCTCTATACCGAGGCTAATTAAATGCTCTCACTGGGCTTTTTAGAATCATCAGTGCAGCTATTTGTATGTGAGTGTGATCCCTTCAGACTTTTTTGTGTCCTTCATGTGGATCAAGTATCTGCTAATGTTTCCTGGCATATCTGCTCCCCTCTGCCTCTGTAGCAGAGGCAGCCATAGCCTGAATATAAATGATCGGCCTGGCTGTGTCCCAATGAAATTTTCGTCACAGGACGTTACGTCAGATGAACTGGTGTGGTCACAGATGAGCCTGGATTTTTTTCTGGTATTTTGACAAATATCAATGTGGTTTTAATTGTGTTGTGAGATGTGGCCTGGTGTCTCTGCTTCCAGCTGGATCCCTTCTGAGCCACTGCCCAGCCTGCTGCCTGGTGGCCCTTCTAAGTAGAAGCCTGGTTGGGGTGGTGCACTGCTGCCCTGTCTGTCTGCTCCCCATGGCACCCAGGCTCCAGGCTCTGCCTGGGCTGCTCCATCCTCCCGAAGGTGGCCCTTCCATGCTGAGCTGCCCCTGTGCCCAGGCCTTTGCACACTTGTATCCTCTTTGGGGAAGGCTGGGGCTTTCTCTTCCATTGCCTGGGAACCACCGTCATGTCACACCCTCCCCAGGAAACCTCCCTGCAGCCCCTGACCTGGGTGTGGGCAGAGGCTGGCTCTGCAGGCCCCTCACACAGTATCGTGGGTGCACGTGAGCACCTGTGGGGCATTGC